AATCTAGGCCTGAAACGTCAGCCTTCCTGCTCCTCTGATGCTGCTTGGCCTGCTGTGTTCATCCAGCTCTATACCTTGTTATCTCAGATTCTCCAGCATCTGCAGTTCCTACTATCTCTGAGCTATTTTATTGTTGTTGATTGATGGGTAAGTGTTGGCCAGGACTTTAGAAAGTACCTCCTCCCCTTTGTCGACTTGAAAGAGCAGTAACAATATCATTTGAATGTCTGACTGAAAAGACAATACCTTTCACAGTGCAGGACTTCCTTCTGCTGCATTACAGTGATGTTGAATCCACAACACATACTCAGTGAAGAGTAATTCTAATGAGCCAAGACAGAATACCTATAATGATTCCATATTGAATAGATATATATGATGTCTCATGGTTTTCCATGATTTATTTCTTTTATTGCTTCCATGCTTAAGCATTATATTTTCTGGAAAGACAGGTGGGAAGACTACTGCTAATTTTTGTAAAATTATATCTATATAAAATAATTAAATTACTCACCCAAGTTTGACTTTGTGATTGATCATGATGCATCTTCCCATTGCTCCAGGGTTTGTTACTCCCTTTTAATTGCTGTGGCTGTTATCATGAGAATCCATGCTGATGCTGGAGAAGCAGTTCCAATCTCCTTTGCTTTGATCATTGGGTGGTGCAACACCATCTATTTTGCCAGAGGTTTTAAAACATTTGGGAAATTTTCTATTATTATACAAAAGGTAAGAAAACAGGCTGAAGTCATTTAGTAAAGTCTGTTAGGAGCTATAGCCTAATGGGCCAGAGTTTATGGTCAAAATTATGGTAACGTTAACAGCCCTCGCCATTAAGGATATTCAAAGTACACAACAACTTCAGACGAGAGAAGGTAAATGCTTAAAAGGCTTAAATGTTGTCTGAGATATATCACTTTGTTTTAGATTCTCAAAAACAGCACCTCAAATAGTGTGACATTCCTGCACTTCAGCGATAATTATGAATTAAATTTGCCTGAAAGTTAGGATTTGTCCATTTTAGTCTAAACAAGTCTTCTAATGGTGTAATAAGTCTTAATCATAGCTGAACAACCTGTCTGGTATTGTAAATTAATTATTAAAAGTGTGGACTCCCATTCACCATATTTTAATTACAGAAATTTATATTTACATTTTTCTCTCATGCTTGCTTAATCCATTCATTCTTTCTCTTTCATTGCTTTGATCCTTACTTCATTTGATATTGAATTCACTATTCTAAGTTATTCTTACTGGTTCAAACTCTACACTGTCAAATACTTAAAGATACATACAGCTGTCTATAAAGAGCTTGTATTTCTGTAACAGTTTTCACAATTTCAGTGTATCTAAATATTTCTGAAGTGTGGTCACTGTTGGAATATAAGAATCATGGCAGCCAGTTTGTGCATGGTTCCTACAAACAACAATGTGGTAGGGACCAGATAATCTGCTTTTTGATAATTGAGGACTAATATTGGCTGGGACAGTGCAGAAAACTCTTTTGCCCTACTTTGAAATAGGGCTACGGGAGTTTTTTTTAACATCCACCTAAAGACAGTTTAATAAAAATATATCCAACTGAGGAGATAATTAAATTGATCCAAAGGTTAGCATATTAGAGAATGTCACATGCCCTTATTAGCAAATACTATAGTTTGGCTTGAGCCCCCAACTGTGTTGTTCTTGAAAGATAAATTGTATGAATGGAAGCAAGCTGACAGCAATTATTTAGCACCTATGTTATTCCTGGAAAATGACTTTTTCCTTTAATTTATTGTGAAATCTCTTCTCTAAAAAAGAACCACGAGGTTGACTGAAGCAATCATTTTATTTATTTTATTTTATTTTATTTACCATTCTGGGAACTTTTCTCATCTGTCATGTGCCACTTGATAGAAACATGATGCTCAACCAAGCAGGAGGTAGGAATCAATTCTTGAAACTCATTGATTTGATTTTATCCAATGGCAATAAAGCCAATAAAAACTCAACTGAAGTTTTTCTTCTGCTGAGGACAGATGCACTTTGCATGACATGATAGGAAGCCTAAAGTGATCATGGTACTGAAATAAATATATGGCAGTGTCTAATGAAGAAAACAGGGCAATGTCTTCAAAGGAAATTTTCATTTGATCAGTTTCCTAAGCCCTCAAAATCATGCTTGACCACTGTTTCTTTGGGGCAAGAGGAGGAATGGGGTGAATCAGAAACATGGAGATAGAAACATGTCTGCCAATTTGAATCAAGGCTCACTGGTGGTGAGCAATGTTCCCTTTATCACCAGTAGTAAAATTAATTCCATAAATGTTGTGAGTGTTTTGAATTGTTGCAAATTCAAGCAAAGATCAAATTTATTTTTGTCTACTAGAAAAGTATTGACAAACTGCAATTAACAAACTTATTGTTGAAACAATATATTTCTAAGAATATGTGGTGAGACCTAAGAGTTCCATTCTGGGCATTGTGTTGGTGCACTTCAATTTTTGTAAATTTGTTTACCTAATACTTTCATTATTGGTGAGAATAGGTAAATATGCTCTTCTTTGGCGATGAAGAGAATTCATTTAGAGTATCAGTTTACGTATGTATCATTTATTCTTGCATTCTTAATGATTTAAATGCACTCAGCCATCTTAGATGCTGAGAGAAACACAGCAATTGTCCCCAAGTAATATATATTTGTATATCTTCATTTCCTTACAGCTAATATTTGGAGATTTTATGCATTGGTGCTGTCTGGTATTTATCTGTATTATTGGATTTACCTTTGGTATGTGTTTCATCTGAATAAATATCCATTTGTAACTTTTTCTAATAAAAATAGTATATCAGCTAGAAAACGTTTTGGCCTGGTTTTATAAGTTAAACTCTTGCTGCTGGTGAAGAAGTAGTTTAGAATAGGAGAACGAATGCTCCTCCCTACATCAAACTTCCGTATTTAAAAAGAATAGTCATTTTAGTTGCAGGTTTTGATGCACATCTCCAATGCTTGCTCATTATAATGCTCTAACTGCCACATTGTGGAGATGGGAGAACCAATTTTGATAATAAACCATTTTCCACTGTTTAATTTTAAGTTCCCACTATTTTTTTCTAGAATCTTTGCTCAAAATGTTAAAATATATATGATGTGATGTTAGTTAGTATCAACAGTACTTTGACTTTAGGTACATATATGACTATAGTAATCTGAATCTAGTTTAATTAATGCTGATCCTGGGTATATCTTACTGCAAATCAATAAATTGTTCTAAAAGAATAAATGAAATAACATTTAAGATACTGCAGTGCTTGTGGAAGTTTTAATTGATAAGCTCCATGTTTTCTCAAATGACTTTGTTTCATTTCTTTCCTCTAGCGTTTTACCTGATGTTTCAGACTCTGAATTTGGCAGATTATCCATATTTTAGGGATTTTTCAATGACATTGCGCACCATATTTGAGCTGATGATGGGATTGATGGATATTCCTCTTCCTTATAACAAGCCCACTCCCAACAATATCTATATTGCCTATGTCATGTTTATGTTGTTTGTATATCTCCTGCTGCTAAATCTGTTGATTGCAATGATGGATGATACATACTGGAGAATTGCACCAGAGACAGAGGAGTTATGGAAAATACAGGTAAACTCTGCTTTCTTTTAACATAGTTTATTAGCCACAACAATTTAAATGAAGGACAAGCAGATAATGTGATCAGGATGGAGATAATATAATTCATACTGAGACATTGTGCCACTTGCTTCTGGAATATACTACCTTTGCATTAAGTGCTATCATTTTGTGGCTGTATAGGATGATATGATGAAACACATTTCTTCAAGATTGCAGTAACTTGGCACACTAAATCAGAATTATTTAAACAGTAGGAGAAACGCTAGCTCATATTTTCTGCAAGGTTAATCAGAAGTATTTTTTCCCCAATCTCTGTGCTAGTATACTATAAAAATCTCTACAAAACATTTGGATTAACTTGCAGCACAATGCTTTTTCTTGGTTATTACTTATCAGTTTTCCTTCCCAGATTGCAGCCACCATACTGCTTCTAGAGCAACGAATGCCAGCATTTCTGAAGATCCGCTCAGGAGTTCCAGGAAGATCTCTGGGTTTTGATGATGACAAGTGGTATATTGGGTAGTTAGAAAATTATATTTCAAGATTTTTCATATTCATACCTAAGTCATAAATGTGTTTTCTTTATCTAAACTGTGTTTTTATATAGGGTTGAAGAAATTCTTCCTGAGACAGAAGGAGGAGCTGGAATAAGCACACAGAGATATTCACAAAACATAAGATGGGACGTGGTTAGAAGAAATCTTGGAAAAATCATAAACATGAAAGATTCTTCTGAATCTACCATTTTATAGGAAACAACAATAGTGAATTAATGATCTGTTTCTCAAATGAACTATGTTTGATCAAAATTGCTAAACCTTTGATGTAAGTTATTTCCCATATAAAGGGTAAAAAAAATTGAAACCAGTTATTTCCCCTAAAAATATCATATAGCTCCTCAACTATGAATAATCTTAGTGGAGTTATCTTTCACATTTTATAATTCAAAGAGTAAGGCCTGTTTTCCTGAGAATATTAAACTTTTAGCAAACTATCTGTTGGAACCATTGGTCCTGAAGACAATGCAGTTGGACCTGAAAGCTGTAAGTGGCAATTTACTTTGTTTTGCCATGAAGCCATTTTACATAGGAAGTGTTCTGAACATCTGAACAAATTAGACATTAGTATCTGGAATCTCCACAGAAATGATCAGATAGCTGTAGAGAAAGCTTTTATTGTAATATTAAACAGTCTCTTGGGAAATCTAGGCCAAAAGGAGCAAAGGAGATAAGTTAAACTAGGAAACTGATTTCAAGTTGGACTTCCATGGAATCTCTCTGGTTTTCAAAGACAGACAGGATCCAATTTCAGTATGTCAACCCCTATTCCCAATGCCCTCAATTTTTGTCCAAATTGTATAAAGGTGTGGGTTGTTGCAGATTGCAAATTGACACACTACACTCCCATCCTGGCTGGCTCCACTTAGAGTCCTAGTCCTCCACAATTTTCGTGGAGTCAGGCGTATTTTCAAGGAGTTCTGAATCGTTGAACCTTCAAGATGTTGTGAACCACATTCTGGATATTGTAACTTTTTGCAAGGTAAGTTCAAATGGTCTCACCCATGACACTCCCCACCCCTCTACCAATGTATGTCCGTTCATCCACCCACCATAGTCCCTCAGCAGCTCCCAGTGTACCTATAGGCCCTTATTCACATGCCCATAACCCTGCATAACCTCTAGACCAAGCAGTGATCAAGACCCCAATCAACAGTGTACATTCTGTGCAAAACCAATGAAACCTATAGTACCAATGTCATGTGTGAAAAAAACCCTAAAAGTATCAGTTATTAATTCATTACTTTCTGGAAATACTGTTTTTACCACTACCTGTAAAGATGCCAATCACTCAGAATTTCAAAGTATGAATTGTGGAAACTGCAAACACTTGACACGTTCTCTCACATAAATAAACATTGAACAATTGAATAAAAAACTATGAGAGAAGTCTACCAACCAAGCAATGACTTTTTTCTGGGTAGTGTTGTTTTGCAAAGTTAGTAGAAGATGTCTGGACTCTCAGCTAAATCTTACCAGGCAGTCCTCTATTTCTCCTGACGAATGCAAGATTCAAAAGCTTTAGCATGCCCATCTTTTCTGAAATATTCAAATATTTTATTAATTCATAGGATATAGCTATTGCTGGCAAGGCCAATACTTATTGCCCATCCCTAATTGCCCTTGAGAAGTGAACCAAACTTGCAAACCACTATAGTCCATCTGATGTAGGTACATCCATGGTGCTGTTAGGAAAGCAATTCTAGGATCTTCACCAGCTACTGTGAAGGAACAGTGATTTGGTCACATGTTACAATGGTGTACAGATTGGAGGGGAACTTGCAAGTGATAATGTTCCCATATATCTGCTATGCTTATTCTTCCAGGCAGTAGAGGTCTCAGGTTTTGAAGGTGTTTTTGGGAGAGCCTTGGGTAAATTGCTGAAGTATACTTTGTACATGGTACAGTCACTAGAGGCGGAGGACATGAATAGTTAAGATGAAGTGTGGGGTGCCCATCAAATTGGCTGCTTTGACCTAGATGGTGTCAAGCATTTTGAGTGCATTTGGAGTTGCATACATTCAGGACATTGGAGAATATTTCATCACACTCTTTTTACAGATAATAGGCTATATGAGTATGTTATTGCAAAATTTCCAGCCTTTAACCTGCTCTTGTCACCATACTATTTACAAGGCTGGTAAAGTTAAGCCCCAAAAGTTTCATAATAAGTTTTCAGAGATAGCAATGCAATTGAATATTAAGTGAGATGGTTAAATTCATTGCTTAGCACTTGTATGGTGTTAATATTACTTGTCACTCATCATATGAAACCTGAATGTTGTTTAGATCAATTGGCAAAAAGGCAGTTGTTATCTATTCATACCTGTGCAGCAGAGCAATGTTATTATGAATACCAAGTATCATCCTTCTCTTTTCCAAAAAAAAAGTTGTGCCCTTTTCATTACTATTACAATCAACAAACAAAATGTTAGATAAATGTAATTTTATGCTGGAAATGTTTTTTAATATGAATGATATTAATTATTATTGATCAAAATATGGACATAGTATAATGTATGACACATCATTTATTCTCTTGTACTGTAGCAAATTTCAGAGCATCTGTTGTCAGCAAGATATGTTTAAGTTTGCTGTGTCAAAGTAATGGACTATTTATAGAGCATTAAGGATCAAAATAAAAGCGGAAATGAAATAAATTTTCAGTTAATCTCTTTTTCCTTGCTTATAATCTGCTTTCTTTGACTATATGGATTCCTGATACTGCTAAATCTGACTATGTATGTCTGATCAAATATAAATGAAATTCAATGAAAGTTCCTGGTCCCCATCTCTCTGATTTACCATTAATTCTTTGTCTCTAAATTTACACTGGGGTGTTGTGAATAGGTACTGACTTCTGACTCCTCCCACAAAATGGTATTGACTTTAATTCTTTGCAAGTGGAATTTTTTGAATTGGTTACAATCTTGGCCAGTATCTTTACATCAGTGTGATGCAACCAATTGTAGTGTGCGGTACCAGAAGTATATTTTGCACTTTTTAAACATCAGAATGGACACTCTCAAACATATGTGTGTGTGTGTATGTAAGTAAAGTCACTGTTACTTATATTTTTGCTTCAGGACACTGGTTGATAACTAACTTCAAGCTTCACACAGTGTATGTAGTGAATAGAATCATACTCAAATCTATAAATTAATATGAAGACTGTGAAGGTCAAGTAAATTAAAAAAGTAAGAATGAAAATATTAATCAACATAATACATCATTTATATCCCCATCTTGATTATAAATATAATTGCATTAACCAGTTCAATACTTCTGTTCAATTTTTAAAAATAAATTACAGACAAACCATCATTACATCTTTTTCACTGATGTTTTGACGTTGCCCCTTCTGTCCTTGCACCTTCAGCCCCTCTGTCTTGTCTTACTATCCCATGACTAACCTTCCTTTCCTGGCCAAAGTCCTTCAAAGTCCGTCTCTGAGCTCACTTTATATTTGAATTCCTTTAATTGGATTTCCACCCAATTGTATTGGAGTCTAAGTTGATGAAATTAAATTTTGGTTGGTTGTAAAATATCTGTAATGTATAAACTGCCCATTTTACATGGATTTCAATAGAGAGGAAAATCAGCAGGATGTATAATGCTGACTAATCCACTAGAATGACATTTCTATACAATGGTAAAGGTTAAATGTTACCTTTTTTATTCTAGAAATGCCAGTTATAAAATACAGTTGTTCTGGGTTGCATAACTTTGGTCAACTTCAATTCAGTTTCCTTTGCATGCCATAGGCAGTTTCAGAATCCTCTCTGCATTCAACCGCTGTCTTTTCCACTAAGAAATATGTTAAACATAATCCAATACAGGTCAAATTCTATATGGTTAGTGGAAAGATGACTTAAAGTCAACTTATGTTACTAAAAATATGGAGCAAGAAAAGGTTAACAATTGGATCCATACTTGATGTTTAACACTTTCATTGTGCAGTGATAAAAACCATTTGTCATGGAATATTAATGAAAATTGGTTTCACCATGAATTTATTGACATATTGTGATGAGGAGTCATAATACGTTATTGTTATTGTGGATAAAAAATGGATTTAGCCTCCCATTTTATGAAGTTGTTTTCTTTGAAAGGTCAGAAAGTCACTTTGAACAGTGAGTTCAAAAAGCATTATGAAGAAATGGTTTAATGTAAGATAAATAACTACCGAACCATCTGGAGAGTTAATTGCTAAATGTTTGCTTGCATGTGTTTTACAACCTAGAGAGAGCTTGTGGGGACAGAATTAAGTTCACAGAAATAGAAGAGGTCAATAATAGTAGATGTGCTGTTCGTTGCACACTCTAATCAGTCAAAGCTAACAAGTCTTGAGTTGATTAGGAGTCAGTGAAAGGAAGGCTCCAGAACCATTAGGTTGTGGAGGTGTGAGATAGAAAAATAAAACAAAAATCCTTTAAATCCATTAATCAGTAATAAACAAAGTCAGTAGCTTGTTTTAAGGCTGTTTGGGTGAGACATTAACTGAAGAAAATAGTATCGAGTGAATGCACAGAATTTGCTGAAAGGAAGCCAATTACAACTGTGCCAACAAAACAAGCTTTAACGTGGAGATTGGAATGGCTCTTCATTGAGATTTAAGTACATGCAAGGATATTTATGTCTTCTCTGATATTTGTTGTGAAATTATTCCAATAGTTCTTGTATCATGTAATATTTTTATTGGTAACAAACTTATATTCTTTCATTGAAAGTACATTATCATTCTCTTGTGAATTATATTCAGTATCAGATCTCCATAGTAAACAAAGAAGAAAAATTCAACTTATAATCTATCAAGGCAAATTTCAATCTAGGACCTTAAAAGACAATTTAGAAGAACCCGAGGTAATCAGGAAGAGTGGTTTTGTGAAGGGCAATTTGTGTTTAACCAATTTATTAGACTTTTTTGAATGAGTAACAAATGCTGTGGATAAAGGAGATCAAGTAGACTAACTGGAATTTGATTTCCAAAAGGCATTTGATAAGATAGTTCATCGGAAGTTATTGAAGAAAATAATAGTTCATGGTGTAGCGGGTAATATATGAACATGGATAGAAGATTGGCTGGCTGACAGGAAACAGAAAAAAGGTATAAATGGATCTTTGTCTGATTGTCAGAATGTGGCAAGTGGAGTTCTGCAGGAATCTCTGCCGGGATCTCAAATTTTACAATATTC